AGCTATTAGCGCGCGCTCTTTATTTTTATTACCTCTATGTTTTAAAGTGTACTTTTTTGCTATATTGTTTTTCTTTTTATTATTATTTAATTGTCACTTCCCCCAATTTTTTAATGAAACAAATTTGTACCATGTTTTCGTAGACGTTATTCACCTGCACGATTCTCATTTAAGAAAGACAGTTTCAAGCCCAACATTATTATAGAAAATATTTCGAATATAAGGTAAGTGCCACCGTCACAAAGTCACAGTTATGCTGTGCGGTGTGTGCGCGTCCAGTTGTTTTTGTTCCAATATTATGTTCTGTTTTGTGCTTTTGTTTCGTTCGGTTAGGGCGCCACACACTACCTTAATTTAGCTGCTTTGTTGTAAAAAATTCAACTTTTTTTTATTAATTTTCTACACGAACACGTACATACATACATACATACATACATAGAAGTGCATTTTCGGTGATGGTTTTCTCCTAGTTTGGCTTTTTTCCATCCAAAACAAGGTGCGAAAACTCTATGTTGATTTCGAATTAGACCCCCATAATTTTAGTTGTGTTTATTGTGTAACTAATTATGGAAAATTTATGTGCAAAGAGGTGTTGGGTACTTTTAAATTATGGCAATGTATTTTTTTATTTTTTTCAAAAGTTTTTCAAAGTTATTTTTTCTAAAATTTTTGTTTTAAAATTTTTTTCATTATGAAATTTTTTTTTTTATTTCTTATTTATTTTCACAATTTTTATTAGTTTTCAAATATTTTAATATTTGTTTTTCGTAAATTTTTCTTTTTTTTACTTTTATTTATTCTTTTAAAATATTGTATGTTTAGTTCTAAAATTTTATTTTGTTTCAAAAACTTTTGTTTGGGACTTTTTGAAATTTTTTATTTTTGCCTCAAATTTTATTTATTTTCGCAACCTTTATGTGTTTTCAAATTTTTTTTTTCAAAATTTTTATTATTTTTTCCATAAATTTTGTTTGTTTTGAAATTTTTTAAATGTTTTTGCAAAGTTTTTACTTTCTTTTCAAAATGTTTATTTACTTTCAAATCGTTTCCAAAAAAACTATGATTTCAAAACTTTTATTTCAAAATATCTAATTTTGTTAATTTTGAAATTCTAAATTTTTACTTTTTT